GAAATCTCAAGTAATATAACTTTACATTGAATGAATCGAGCAACATAGGCTTCAAAAGGTTTTTATTTACCTTCATTTGAAGAAATAGTAATACTGCTACATTGAATTTTGTTCTTATTAAGCGGATATATTATTATTATTTAACGCTCATTTATTCAATCTTTTAATTGATTAATGTTTTCAGGTCATTAAAAACATTTCAGGTCACATTGATTTTCGTAATGTTTATTTTATCCAAAGTAAAAAAGAAAAAGGTTTTAAAGATTGGGAACATTTGCGCTGAGATCTATCATACTGCTGGTAAAATGTTTAACAGTATAATGAACAATCATCGTCTTTCTACAAGGCTTGATGCTGAAATTGATGAAGTATTAAATCTACCCACGCTCCTGTGATGTCCTTTCACTGAATATGCCATAGCTTAGGCAATGAATAAAAATATAAGATAATGCTAATTTAAATTTCACAAAATTTTATAATACATTTTATTATTATTATTATTAATATTAATGTGGTACAAATTGAATTAAAAAAATTAAGTTAAATATAAAAGATTTGTAGTTGAATTTGTGGTTGAATTTGAAAGAGAATTTGAAGTAGATGTCGATGCGTTTATATTTGTGGGATTGCTATTATTGCTGTTGTTGTTGTTATTATTATTATTATTAATATCAATATTATTAATATCAATATTATTACTGCCACCACCAAAACCACCAACATCGCCGCCACCACCAACATCGCCACTGCCACCAACATCGTCATTATCATCACCTTCGCCATTTCCATTGCCATTAACATTAACATTGTTATTAGTTTCGGTTAATTCGGCAGATGTTAAACTTTTAATCTTGGGATATGTTACTTTCTCATCTAATTCATCTTGAGCCCAAACCAACATTTTTAATAAATTTGGTAATTTTGGATCTTTTTCTTGACTTTGTGAAGTTAAAATTGCGGCATTTAGTTCACTAGCTGTACGTAGACGTTGTGATGGGTGAAGTAAATCTCCTACAGGGGATGTGGTTGTGTCATCAAACGCTAACAATGCCATTGATCTCTCGAGTTCTTCAAGAAACTCAGGCTTTTATATTATATATATCAATTAGTTACGCGCGCACATATTTATACAATCTATCTTATATTAACAGACGTATTTGTTTGAATTGTAACCTACATTCTCTTCTCCTAGAGGTGCTAACTCATCTTGTGCGAATTCTAAAGCTTCAGATACTCTTCCTTGTCTAATATATTCTATTAATCTTTGTTGTTGAAGATGGAAATATAATTTTGGATTTGTATCTAATATCTGAAGACATTCAAAAGGAACGAAGTTGGGGGTGGATATATTGTAGTATCCGAAAGTAAGTAAAAAAATCAACAGTAGTAATAATAATAATATTTTT